TTATCATACCATGCGATCTCCTATTACCTACTGATTCTGTTACTCAAAACTTTCATTCTACATTCCCTTACACAAATCTTTCTCACTCTTTTCTCAACTAATTAAAAGGTAATTGTAATAAAAAAGCTAAACTAAAATAAGATATATACATATATACTTGAAACACTTTTTCAAGGTATCTGAAAAATGAAATAAAATCATACTGGATTGCAGGTAGAGAATTCCTGTTATAACCAAATCACATGAGAAAGATCTGAAGTATAAGGGGATCAACAGATGGAGGGAGTGAAGAGGAAAGGAAGGAAAAGAGATAAGAAAATGACTTAAGAAAATGTACGTATACCAACTCCATAAAATGAATGTAAATATCTTCTACTGTAAAATGAACTATTACAAATTCAAAGACAAAAATAAATCATATGGAAACTAATGTAAATAAAATATTACTAGTATTCGAGTACGTCTAGTATTCTAGACGTAGATCCTGCAAAAATTCATTGCATCATGAAAAAGGCATGCTAAGTCAGTGAAAAGTCTAAATGGGAATTATTAGGAAAAGTTTGTATTTAGATCATCATGTTGCAGATGCAGAAAAATTGAACTCCAGAAGATTAAGAACCAAAACATTGATAGTTTAACATAAAATGTAAATGGACACAAGCTATTAAAAGGAGGGGTCACTGATTATTGAGCACATTTGAAGATGTTACATATTTAAAAATATTATGTAAAGTAATAAGAAATAAAAAACAAATAAGTTGCATCACTATAAACTCAGGTATACCCCAACCCCAAACAAGATAAAGTATTGTTTATTCTAATGACATTCTTCATTTTTCACAGTAGCAGGACATTTTTTTGGAGAAGAAATTTAGCAAAATGTATCAGGAACTTTTACTATTTTGTAATAAGAAAGAGCAGGCTCACAGGATATATGTGTTCACTTGATATAACATTACCACAAAATTAAAAGAATTTATGGGACCAGGGTTATAGCTCAGTGGCACAGCAATAACAGTGCCTTACAAGTACAAGCTCATTAGTTCAATTCTTGGTACAAAAACAAAAACCATATTTACCAATTTACCAAGTGTTTAATAAAAATATGGAAGTGTTTTTTTTATTAAGTTTAGTTTTTAGGAAGTCAGAATGTAAATTTCCACTGCAATATCATTTCAGCAATATTTTAGAAAAGCAGAGATAAGCCATGGTGATACAACATGTCTAAAATAAACCTGAATTAAAACAGTGGGCCAGGGATTTAGCTCAGCTGTGTAAGCTCCTGCCTTACAAGTGCACAGTTCTGAGTTTGATCTGTGGTACCACAAAACAAAACAAAACAACCCCCCAAAAACATGAATGTGTGGTGTTTGAATAATTGAAGTAAAAAAGTGATGTTATTTCTTGTTTGTCCAAGTTTCTATGACTTCTACTTGTAACTCCGTTAGTTTACATTATAACGGGAAAAAGGCATTCCTACCGAAAACAATTCATCCTCGGGTCTGGAAGACTGTGACAAGTGGGGAGAATTTCAACTCACTGTCCTTTTCCAGTAGGGAAAAAAAAATCTACTTAAGGATTAATAACTACTATCATTTTAAAATGTACTAAAATGTAATAGAATTTTTAAAAATCTTTAAATGCATTTTAACTGCAGATGTTTCCATCATCCATGGGGATGGCATTTCTCATGTGCAAGATAGGAAGCTCGCTTTTGAGGAATGTATTGATTAAGTCTTTGAGGGATAAGAAAAGATCCCTCAGCAAAGCCTAAACTGGTGAGGGCAAGACATGCAATGGGCTGATTTTGATTTTCTATGTGAGGGAACAAGAATTTGAATATCAGATTGCATAACAGATAAGTAATAGGTGGCGAACAGCATAGGCTGAGGAGCCCTGTTGGCAGAATGGCTAAAGAGCACTGTTAGGGACAAGGTCATGGACACTAGAACTTTGTTATCAACTTAATTGTTGCACCATAGATACATAGGTCTATGGTTACATTAGCTCATAAAATTATTGGGGAAATATTCCTTCATTCTCTGCTATAAGAGTTTGGTAAAATTAGCATTAATTCTTTCTTACATGCCCAATACATCCACCCTTACAACCATCTGTACTTGAAGTTTTCTTTGTGGAAAGGTTTTCAATTGTAAAATTATGATTATCCATATTTTCTATTTTTGATTGTGTTATTTTTGGTAAGTTATTCTGTTAGGGAATTTGTTAATTTTATTTTGTTTATCAAACTTATTCAAATAAAGTATTTTTGCTGGTATTTTAGCATCAATATCTTCTGCAGCAATGTCTTATTTTCTTTACTGACACTGATAATTGGTATTTTTTTCTTTCCCTTGATCAATTTTACAAGCCAATTATCATTTTATCAAGCTTTCAAATGCACTATGGGATCATAGCTACAGTTATGTCACCCTTCTTTTATTTGTTAAAATAGAAGATTGTGTTGATGATTTTTAAATTGTCTTCTTTTAAAATATTAATTTAAAGCTACACTTTCTCTGAGTATTGCTTCCAGTTCACCCACAAATATTAATTTGTTGTATTTTCTTTATATGTAAACTTCAAAGAGCTTTTAAATATCCTTCAAATTTCTTCTTCAATTTATTGATTACCAAACATGGTCTGCCTTTGTATTCAAATAGATACAGATTTTCTAGCAATTTTAATACTGTAAATTTCAAATTATTGCTTCTTGTGTATATGTGTTTCTAGCATGGACTTTTTGTTCTACTTTAATAATCAGGCATTTATTGACATTTCCTTTTGGTATAAGAATGCATTTTAGTCACTATTCCACATATTTTAAATAGAATATATATTTTATAGTTTTGAGTTTCATGTTTTATACACGTGACAATGTGATCGACAGTGTTGTCCAAACCTTTCATTTCAACTGAATTATTTTATTTTTTCTATCAAAAATGAAAAATGGAATCATAAACTCTCTATCTATCTTTGTAGATTTGTGAATTTCTCTCAATATTCTCGATTTTTGCTTTATATGTTCTAAAACTTTTCTTTTTGGTAGGGTTTAAGGTTTATTATGTCTTGTTGATAAACTGACCTTGTTTTATTATAAAATATCTATTTGATCTGTATCAGTAGTTCTCAACTTGTGGTCTACTTTATTTCTAATGTTAATGTAGTATCAGAGGTTTTCTTCTGATTAATGTTGGCACAGCATATATTTTCCATCCTTTTAATTTCAGTGTGTGTATGTATTTATAAAATACATTGATATTAATAGCACTGGTTATTGTCCTTTCAAAAATCCAGTGCTCTAATTTGTGTCTTCAAATGGAGTGTTTAGTCGATTTGCATTTCAAACAGTTATTGATACAGTTGTATTTTAAGCTACCATATTAGTATGTGATTTTGTCTGTACCATGTACTTTGGTTTTTCACTGTTCTCATTTTATGCATTATTTATTTATACTGGTTGCTCTAGAGCAATGATTCTCAAACTCTTTGGTCTCAGAACTCTTTTAAAAGTATAAACTTTTAAAAGTTAATTAATATCCCAAAGAGTTTTGGTTTAGGTAGACTACATTCATCAATATTTATCTTATGGAAAATTATGCGAAATTTTTAAAACACAAGAGCAAGAGTAACATTAGTCTTCTAAACATTACCAGGATCTCTGTTTCCTTGCTTAGCTGCCTGTGGGACTGCTCAGGGCCTTTCTGATGAATTGGGACTGTTTTCATTCTGTGGATGCAAATTGTTAGCAAAAGAGCACTGTGAAGTACAAACTGACTGCATATAGGCCATGTACATCATTGGAATAGTTCTCCGATTTACAGACATGATGTGGATTTTATTCTGGATACAGTCTTTGGAGAAAAATTCAATATTACAAAAATGTGTTTGAAAAAATTCAGAATACAGAATGGCTTTTAGTAATTTATCCAATGGGGTAATTCAAAGAAATTCATTATAAAGCAGCAGTAGATTGGGAGCCCTAGTAAGTTAATATACAACTAGCACACAGAGAGGAGGAATTTCTTGTACTGTCGAATTCAACCTGAAATTATCGCAGAACTATTTGAGTTTGTCACAGATCCCTAACTGTGTGCTATTTTTTTCAGATTCCATTTTTTACACACACCTGCTGGGGCTGAACTGTGACTAGCGATGTTTCCAGTCTTGGAGGCAATAAAAAGGAAGTGGTCAACAGACAACCTTTAGGATGCTCTTTTTGGAATCATTTATCTTTTTAACAATCAGAAAAACTTGTTTGATTTTTTAATGGCATTTGAATGGCAATAACCAGGTCTGCTATATGCATATTTTAAAAACTTGCACATGTTTGTGGGGGGGACCCATAGCATACAATTGATACTAGAAGAGCAGTTATAAAAAGCTCACAAAAATCAATCAGCAGTGACAGGAAATCACAGTTGGGTGAAACAAGTGACTGCATGTGTTTATTTTTATTTATATCACTTCCTAGAGTAGTTTTAAACCTTACCTAAATTACCACATATAAGGTACATAAGTAGTGTTAACAGTCAATAAGCATTTATTGCTATCATTATTAGCAAAGTTGGTCTTGTTATGATATTTCATACAGCCTCTACAGGGTTAAATGCTTGGTTAATGGCTCAGTGAATAAATGCTAAAGACAAAATTTGAGCTAAAGATTTATAATTTGAAATTCAACTTTCTTTCAGGACACTATGATGCCAATTCCACAGTACAAAATTTCCCCCATCTAATCTATTCCAAATCAGTTTATATGCAAGAAAATAAAATACTGTTTTATTCAATGAAATAAAAACATAATTTAAAATGACAAAATTGCAAGTGGAAAAATTCTAATGGTTCAAAATGCTCATTTGTCATAATCATTTTAAAGTTACTTCATAATCTGCATTTGTAGGTGATACCTGGGCATGAATATTCACACTATGAAAACACAACAGTTACTTAAAATGCACTTTTAAAAAAAATGTGCTTTAAAGACATGATAAACTCACCTTAGAAAGGCCACCTACTTCCAAATAAAAGCAGATAATGAAAACATTCCAGGTGATCCAGAGGGCCGTCCATACTGAGTACTGGATAGAAGTTGGGAAGGAGCAAGAAAGAGAAGAAAAATATGGAGATGAAAGGCATGTATATTAAATAAATTGATAATAAATATGTCAATCAATCTATGTCTTCTGGGAAGAAATAGATGAACAACACTCAGAAAAGAATATCCCTTATGAGGTCTCCTAAGATTTAGAAATTAAAAGCCCAATAGTTCTTGCTGCTTTCAGATGATGCCCATAAACTTAGAATTATTTCTAAACATTTTGCTGGCTTGTAGATATAATTTAAATACAAATGTTCACTTGGTTTCTGTCTGCTGAATGTTTTCCAGGGAACATAATTATGCATTTATTCTATCAGCTACCAATCTGTCTGTCTAAATTCTCTAACTACCTCACTTTTCAATTGCAATATTAAACTGTCAAAGTTTTAAGAATGTTACTTCAAACACAGAACTTCTATATCCCTGAATAAAGTCAGTGCATGCAATTAAATGAAAGTGGACATATAGAATAAAATTAACAAACTTTCATCTGTATATATATCTCTATAACTTCATAATAAAATATGGTAATATGAAATATATTAAAGCACAGAAATTACTAAGTGTTTAGGGGTGTTAAATAGCTGACTATATTAATGTTTTTGGATCATTGAACACAGCTGTTTGCAGTCTCTCTGTTTGAATGTCCACTTTGTATTCTTTGATACTGTGATTTGAGCAACTATTTCTAAGATGATAATATGTAATCTATTAACAGGTGATTTCTTACTGTTTTTTTTTGTAGTTCTGTATTACGTGTACCCTTATACCGCTTTGTTTTGTTTTGTATTTTTCTCTTTTTCCTCTTAAATAAAATTTAAAAAAATAAATGAACAATAGATATTCATAATGGACAAACATTTTACATTCATATTTTTAAAAATTTAAGTTTTCTGGCCTTATTGATTAACTAGTTTTATTAATATGTTATGTACTAGGAAGTGACTTTCACTAGATAGTGAATTTGAATAGATATAGCATTTGAGTGGACTTGTCACTGGAGAGGGTCATACTGCTCATCTGCTCATTTTCTCATGCAGACAAAGAGAATCAGAGACTTGCCATCAGAACAGCTTGGATGACTGAGGAGAGTAAATACCACAGGACAAAGTTAACAGATAAATACGGCGGTTCATCCTTTTACTTTACTGAAAAAAGTAGGAATTCTTAAATTCTTACTCATCACTTTCTATGAGTGATTACAACCATTTCATGTTTAAGTTAAATACTGAAATCATTCACTTAGCTTATTTTATGCTGTGGCAAATAGGACTATGAGTTTTAGATATTAAAGAAAAGAACCAGCTTACTATTAGAAAGCTTATCAGATTATTTATCTAATTGTAAAGCTTGATTTGCTTTTTGTGGCTTTTGGTTATCCAAAGTTTTTAAAGAGTTTCAAAAGAGCCTCAATCTTTACACAGTTCTATAGTAGGATATATTTGATGCCACATAATGCTTTTAAAGACGTTTTTTAAAAAAAGATTACACAATTAAGTTACACATTAAAGTTCCAAAATTATTATGAGTTTATAATAACATACTGAAGAGTTCACATAAATAGAATATATTGTAAAGTTTGTTGGTATTGGCAGATACTGCTAAGGTGGCAATAGCTTCTATTCATAAAGTTTCCAAGTATGAGTGGACACAGATTTTAAAAAGGTGCCAAAATATTGATATTAAACAAAACAAAGTGAATTAAGCATTTTGTTGAACTACAAAATATTCTTGTGGCTGTCAAAAATATATAATCTACATTTTAAAAATTAGATAATATATTTATATAAATATATATTAATTTACACAAACAATAAGTGCGACATAATTTAGACATCTTGCTCATCACATGGAATTTGGTCTCTGATATTTTTCTAGTCTAAATAAGTGAAATTTTAAATGAATCAAGTTGAGAGAGCAACTCTGTCCATGAAGTCATGAAAAAAAATAGTGACAAGGGTTCAAGACAGAACCAACAAGAGACATTATGGTAACCATTGTTGATAAACTTGTACTCTGTGTTTACATCATGTGCTATGTCTATCCTTGGTTTTGACTGACAGCTTTGTTTTGCCATATTTGACTTTATTCTCTCCCCCCCCAAAAAAAGTAATAAGAACTAAGGAGTAATAAAACCCAAAATGTGTAAATTTTGTTGTAAAAAAGAGAGGGAAAAAAGTGCTCTAAAGGATACAACAGCAAGTGTGTTTAGGGGTGTTAAACAGCTGACCATATTAATGCTTTTGGTTGGATCATTGAACACAACTGTTTGCAGTCTCACTGTTTGAATGTCCACTTTGTATGCTTTGATACAGTGACTTGAGCAACTATCTCTAAGATGATAATATGTAATCTATTAACTGGTGATTTCTTACTGTTTTTTTTTTTTTTTTTTTTTTGTAGTTCTGTATTACTTGTACCCTTATACTGCTTTGGGTTTTTTGTTTGTTTGTTTTGTTTTGTTTTGTTTTGTTTTTTCTCTTTTTCCTTTTAAACAAAATTTAAAAAAAAAAAAGAAAGAAAGGCTAAAGAGTAAGAAAATGAGCAGCATTCATTATAAAATCTTATTATCGTAATTATTGGGATTCAATCCTGAACCCATATGTATTTTTTTAGGAAAGTCAATTCACACAATAAACAAAATGTACAATAATATAAACCTATTTAAAAGTCAACACAAATTTGACCTAAGTGATCTCAAGAACTTTCAAAAGTTGCACTATTGGTATTGGAACTGAATTTTCACAGGTAAAACTATCAGCCTAACTAAAGTCAAACTGAGAGCTGTTTGGAAGTGCTTAATAATGGCAAGGGCCATTGTTCTGGCATTATCTGGTGCTGTACACTTTACATTGGTCATGTCCAGGAGTCCTCATACTGAAGCCAAGGCAGGGCGGCCATTGTTTGATCCTCCAAGGAGTGTGTACTCTTTCTCCTGGTAAAATTTTTATTTTTAAAGATCCTAAGAAAATAATCAAATAAATTATGAATTACTCTTCCATAAAATTTTTCACCCAATCAAATGACAATTCATTAAATTACAAGTTTACCAAAGATTTCATTTGTGTAAATTCTGTAAATGGCAATGTTTTGGGTAAGAAGGTATTGTTGGTTTCTTGCAACTAATATGTTATGTATGCTACAGAGTTATACATGTTACATTTCATCAATACAGTGTTTAGAACAAAGACTGCAGGATTAAATTCTTGATGGTTATGAGATGTAAACTTTATATCTCATCAGTACTTGATTATAGATATACAGGGAAAAAGATCTCTGGAAATAAAACATACACAAGAATTTACCCAGGCAGGAATGTCAGAAGAATCCTTGGGTTATGAGACTAGCTTTCCTTCCTACCTTCTTTTTGAAGTGGCTTATTATATGTGTCGACTCCTTGTAATGGATGTAATCATTGTGTGTTGCAAACACATACTAATAAAAATAAATTAAGAAATTAAAAATTTCCTTTGAAATATGAATTAAAATAAGACATAAAACTTTCTATTTTTAAGAAATACGCTTTTTTACTATGCAGCATGCTGATATGCTCATATATGCAGCCAGATTGAATATATTTGCAGTATAAAAGAGAGCTAGTCCATGTAAAACAAAAAAGAAGTAATTTTATATATTTTATCTGTCTCTCTGTTCAAATAATTCACTTGTAGTCATAGCAAAATTTTAAAATTTTAAAGCCAGATGAGTTAATTTAAACTAAAAAGTTAGACTTTATTTAAGAAGGGTTAACTATATTAGCTAACTCTTCTACCTTTAAATTAGGTCTGGTTGATTAAATTATCAATGAACTAATAAAGATTTAAAGAATACTAGGCCAAACATTTGTTCTAGAAATCACAAGGTAAATTTTGAAATATTATGCATAAGGGTAAATAGTAAACAACTGATTCTGCAAGAGTTCATTATGGCTGATATATATGGTTTCAGAGTTTCTTACTGTCTTTAAACAAACCAACACAAATGGTGCTTTTAAACTTCAACACCAAATTTGATATACTCTAGCTAACATAAATTTTAATCAGTAAAGCAAAACTATATGGTAAAGTTATTTCTGCATTCTAACAATAAATATCTTCACATTTTCAGCACTGATGGTATCTGAAATAGAATTATTGCTCTTTTATTTTGTGATTTGGATGGTCTTTGCTGTGGTAACTCAGTTACAGTGGCAGCAGCCCATGACATTATATTTCTTAAAAAACAGATCTTGAGGAATAAGTAAGCTACTAGTAAGTGCCAGTACATGATTCAAGAGCACTGCAGTGGCACATATCATATACCAGGCAATTTCTCAGCTGAGATCTGATAGATAAAAGTAAGGCAGCGAGGCCAGTTTTTCTGGCTGATCTATTACTGACATGTTCTAAGAAATCACTGCTTGGTCCGTCTTTAAAGTCACTGCCTTCATCTGATAAGAGGTGGGAAAGGAGATTAAAAGAAGGAATTAAGATGTACTATGTACTTGTATCAACTCCACCCAAGAATGTAACACTATGTACTATAAACACATATCAATAAAAAAAAACCACTAAATATCTTAAAAGATCTGAATTTATATGGCTAATCTCGAATGCAGCAATAGAAAGGCAACCACATTTCTTTATTTGTTTTGTTCTCTTACACAGCAGACAGCTATCCCTGCATTGTTTTTGTGAACATGGCCTGGAACTAACATGATTTACACATTTGACATTGAAACAGACCTGGAATTGATTCTAATAATGTATTTTTAAAAGCCTGAAAATAGTCTGGTACATGTCATGTTAATCAAGGTACATCGTGAGGCACCAACTTTTCAATGGCAGTGAGAGAAGACCTGGATCACAAATCCATACAGACTATTCCTGGGCAGGAAAAGAGCTTTTCGATTATAGGAGATTTTCTTTCAATATTATTTCTGCTGTTTTTAGTATTGGTCTACTTTATTGGGTGAAAATATCACTAATACATGCCAATTAAATTTAATCCATTTCAAATCAACACACATTTTGGAGCACCGGGTATGTCCTGAGGGTTCACCCAGAAATTAATAAAATATTGTCTGTCACTGAGACAATTGAATGGAGCTCACAATCTAGTTTTGCATAGACATATGTAGTAAGTGCTGTGTCTGAGAACAAATAGGATTTATCACACTTGAATTCAAATTAATCTCTTAAGAAAATGAGTTAGGAAAAGAATCACAGAAAACAAGTACTATGTTATCCATAGGCAAACTTGGAATCTTAGAGTGAAAGTCAAAGCTGAGGAACAGGGCCCCTTAGCTCCCCAATCCTGCTCTTCCCACGCTGTCTACTCGCTGACTTCATACCAGCCACACTGAGGAACTTGCCTCTCTCTGTTCTTGTCTACTCTGTCCTCATATATTATATCTTCTGCCTGCACTTTCCTCATCTCCTTATGTTCTTGGAAAACCTGTAATCCTTTAAGTAAATTTTCACCTGTTAAAAGCCTTACTTCTTCTCTCCACTCAGGGCTCAGTGCCTCGTCCTCCATACTGCCACTGATGCTGGCAACTTTCTAGCCTGTTCCTCTACCCAGTATCATTGCCTCTGTTGTATGTGTTCCTGGAAGGCAGGACAATGCCTATCCATGGCTGCATTTGAGATCTAGCCATATAAGTAAACAGCAAAATGCTTTACTCATAAAATGAAAGTAAGGCAGGGTTACTTTTAACATCAAAACTGATATTGACAATTGCAACATATTACTGGGATCTGATGATGGAAGTAAGCAAAATTACTATGCTAAAGCAAATTCAAGGGTCTAATAAGACAAGTGAGGTCAATATATATGCAGTTCTGCTTACTAGTGTTCCCTGAGTAAGTTGCTTAACATTCGTAACCTCTAACCTTGATTGCAAAACTACAGATGCTTAATACATATTTCAAAGGGTGCTCAGGAAGACCAAAACATGTGAAGTGCTTGTCATAGAGGGCTTTCCCACCAATTCATGGCTTTCGTTCTCCTCCCCTGCTGAGAGAGAATCAGTAATAAAGCTAAGAACATGGTTGGAATTTTCTTGGCATAATATTCTAAAAGGGACAATCAAATAAGCAAAAATATGAATTGTTTATCTTGTAAATCTTTCCCTTTGAAGATTCTGAAAGCCTTAAAGCTACCTTACTCTGGATACATGGTTTAAAAAGAGGGTGAAGGAGACAAAGAAATGATACCACACAGAGAGAGAGAGATAGAGTGAAAGAGAGAGACAGAGACAGAGACAGACAAACACAGAGACAACCGATAACAGGTTGATCATGGTTGGACTCCACTGAACCCTGTGGAATGATAAGAATTAGATGGAAACATGGATAAATATGGATGGACTGGCAATTACATTCCTTGTTTTCTAGAAGCTCTTTTGCCTCATAGAGAATACTTAAATATGAGCAAATTATAAAACAAGATCCAAACACAGGCCATAGAGTGGAAATGCATGGAAGGATGTGTGCATGAAGGACTGAGGAAATGTTGACAGGCCCAGAGCAAAAGCTGCAGTTAAGGCCATGGCAGCAACAGGCTGGAGAGGCAGGTAGGATCAGAGGGTTCATAAACTGAAGAGTACAACTTCGGAATACCTTCAAGCCCCACCTCCTATCCCAATTATCCTGCACTTCTACTGCCATTCTGGAACCTCTAGAGTATCCTAGATCCTGTACTCCCCTTCTCCCTGTTTCAACAGAGCTTCTGGAGAGCACAGACTCAGTAATTTGTATTCTTTTCTGGTTATTCAGTCCTACTTCAGTGTACTGTTCAGGCTTCACGACTGAAGGGAAACTGCTCCTATTGAACTACTGGCTCAGTCCTGCTTTGGGCACAGAATCCCCCTCAGCCCTTTCTCCCCTGGGAGCTCATGCTTGCTCATATCACAAGCAGATCTCAGTGCCCAAGCACTTCCGCAGCACACTTCACCCTGTCACCTTGCTAAGGCCTGAGTCCCCATTAGACATCACAGGTACAGTGTAAAATTAGTAACATCTACGATAGCTTCAATTTAATATTTCTGTGGTCATTATTTGCTAAAGGCTCAGCTAGGTTCATTAGGTTGCAAAGTGAGTACCCAGGAAGGTGGCAATGTCTCTGCCCATCTGACAACTTTACACTGAACACAATGCCAAATGCATACTAGACACTAAAATAATATATTTTGAATGAATAAATCCATAAAAAGATGGAGTGAAGATAGGAAAGCAATAAGGAAGAAGAAGAAGAAGGGGAAAGGAAAGATTTGTGAGACATACATGAGATATATTAGGCAAGAGTATTCTTTATATCTTATTTTGGTAAGGAGCCAGGATAAAGCTTTCAGCTGTGATTTAGGAAAGTTCACTGGAAGGGAGAGAGACTGAATGCAAGCAGGACACCCATACATAGGAGAATAAAGGCAAAAGCCTTCACTAAGGCAGCAGACATAAGAACAGTGTAGGGTAATAGAGGTTAAAAGCAATAGGACTACATACAGTCTCTCGGGTGGACCTTCGGCCTCATCTAAACAAGACACTGGTTTCATAGCCATTGGGATTTTGGGCTTTAGCATAACACCAACAGCATAAAATAATAATTTTGAAGAATAAAAGATCTCTATATTCATAGTTACAAGGTAGAACATATTTATAATCCAGTAACAATTCTAGCATTATGCATGATATTAAACCACCTCACGCTGGAAGTCTAACTGTATGAAACATCTTTCTGGTAGATGATACAGTGGTTTGGCAGAAGCTATTTCTGACAGAAGGATAGAAAAGTGGAAAATGTTTGTTCCTATAGCAAGTTGAGGGACAACAAACTTTTGGCACCACATTAAGGCTGAAATTGTCTGTTATCCTTGTGACACAGTGAAAGAAGTCAAAATTTTAAAACTGAGATTTAAAGTAGAGCCCTGCTGCATGTTTAGAAAAAAAAATTGTACTTGCATGTTTTTCAAGAGTTGATTAAGTACAGAGCTGCCATTTTTACACACTAGCCATTTCTTTTATTATTATGACAGTGTCACTGCATTGAAAAAATCATGACTTTACTGAATACTACATGTTTGATTCTCACTTGGTGAGTATTTTAGTGTATATATGTTTATTATTATTTATATTATTATTATTTCTTATAATTTTCCTACACAAGTAGCCTATAATATCCCCATCTCTCTCTCTCTCTCTCTCTCTCTCTCTGGATCCTCACACTGAGTTACATCCCCAGCAGTTTATTTATTTATTTATTATAATTTTTGAGACAAGGGCTTCCTAAATTTCTAAGTTTCCAGACTTGAACTTGTGCTATTCCTGCCTCTATTTGACAGAATACTAGGTCTACAAACTGCTTTGTTTTTATATAAAACACAATTTATGAATTATTTTTCACTAGACTTCAATAAATTATACTACAATGGAATATGTGCTGACCATGCTTGGTATAGTTTTAAATATGGCTTTATGATTCAAATTTCTCTTAACAATATGGAGAAACATAAAGTAGCAAACTACCTGAATTATATTAGGGATCTGTGCTAAATATCCTTCAGTACATGTAATGATTTCAATTATTAAAATTAAATTATACCTGTTTCACGTTAACTTTTTGATACTGGTGATTAAAACCAGGGTTTTATGAAGAATTTAGTATTATTTATATGGAAGAGATGATAAAAAATAAGACTTACCACCATGATGTATCGAGGTCGGTACTGAATAGTTCCAAACAAGCCCAATATGACCACTATTATATGAAGAAAATTCCCAAGAATTGGTGCCCATTGGAAGCCAAGAAAGTCAAAAATCTGCCTTTCCAGTGCTGATATCTGCAACCAAGCAAAGAAAGGTCATCAGCAACTAACATTATAGCATTATAACATTATAAGTATTATTGTACCATGTTAATCCATATAGCTGGATAAATCTGAATATACAATTTCAATCATGCTTATTACAGGAAGCATTGTTACTACATTGTTATTTTATTTTGTTGCCGTGATGAGGATCAAAACTAGAGTCAATCTGAATGAATATTCTACTACTGAACAATATTCCAACTCTTCTTCCTAGAATTATAGTATCTATTTCAGATGTTGTTTCTCTCAGAAAATACACTAAAATGATATGTAGTATTATTACTTCAAAAATCGATTATATGCCTATCTGGAGAGTCAGAGATATATTCTTTAAGTCATTGTTGCATATAAAATTCAGAAAAATATGACTTGAATTTATTAAAGTGATTGGCTTGGAACAAGCTATCTAGAACAATAACCAATAAAATTTAGTTTGTCATATGACAAGTAGTATCATTTCAGAAACAAAAAGAATGAAAAAAACTGGTACTTCTGTTTTCTGTGTGAAATTTGTACTATATTTGCACCTTTTCCCTTTTATTAGGATACTGATAGTTATAATGACTAAATACATTTAGAAAATGAAGCTTACTTTACTTTGGATTCAAGAGTTTGAGATAAAAATAGAGTTTAATAGTCCCATTAAACTGTTTTACTGCGATTAGGTAAAAAAAATTCTGCTTTGAATAGCTAAACAAAAATTATGTATTCATAGCAAATTTAAACATACCTAGTTTATCATCTTTGCAACATATATAATTTTATTTTCAAACAATTCTACAATGTGTCAAATTATACACCATTTATGGTTAAACAGTTGAATTTCAGGTGATCCAATGAATATCAACAGTGTCATTACAATGTACAAAATTTTACAGTTCTACCTTCTGTGGTTGGACAATAATCTTACACATTGCAATCATTTTTCTAGATTTTCTTTGGTAAGATAGTAGTTCCAATGGAGTGAATGGGTGATTAGCTGCATTGATGGCAAAAAACCTGCAGCTTTCAAATGGAGATGGCACCCTAGATATTTTTCTAGTTATGAAGCAGGTGCATGCCTGAATACCTTTAATTTCTTTGAACATAAAGAAATGATCTCTATCTAATAAGTTCAGTTTTCCTTGATTAAGATTTGCCTTTAGCAAGCTGTGCAGAAAAAGAGACAAGAACTGATGTCTGAAGATCCACACTCATTTCTTCAGTATTTCCTGATCCTGAAGTATTTTGTTACAAGCTTTACCATCCATAAATGCAGAGAAACAGACTAATCAGAATAGTGAAAGAGGAGGCACTGTATTTTTAATCTCATGTTTGTCCCTTCATCTGACTGTAATTAGTTCCCAGGATCTTTCCTCAGAAAAATGTAACATTTTATTTATTGGTCCATCAGTGATATAAATATGCACAGTTTTTAATATCCAAACAGGATGAATGGGCTCAGGAAAAAAAAATCAACCCTGAAGAGCAGCCACAGACAATTTATTCTGAAACAGCAATCCTACTTTAAAGCTGTCATGCATCACAAAAACCTATAAAGTGAACTTTTCAAACAGAGAAAACCCTATTTCTTTTTCTGTCAGAAACTGCACAGAGTTAGCGTTTATGATATTAAAGATAACTCATAATGAAAGAGAGCCTAAATTAATGGAACTTATTAGATAATATGCCTTCTTTATTCAAGATCCTCTGGGTCCTTATTTATTAATGTTCATCTGCCAAAAACTTAAAACTAAAATCTAACAAAAACTTAAAAGCTGTCTTTGAGGTGGACTGAAATAAGAGCACAAATAAAAGATTATAAAAATGATCATATCAAAATAAGGCAAAGAAGAGCTGCAACAAATAAACAAGCCATAAAATTTGACTTGAGAACTGCATTTTAAAAAGCCAGCTAAAAGTAATAATAAAAAGCCTTTTCAAAAATGAAACACAGGGGCTGGAGATTTAGCTCAGTGGCATAAGCATCTGCCTTGCAAGCGCGTGGTCGTGAGTTCCATCCCTGGTACCAGTAAAAAAAAAAAAAAAACAAACAAACAAAAAAAAAAAAACACTACTTTATTGGGCAAAATACCCAACACCAATAACTCAAAGGAAGAAGAAGTTTACTTTTCTTCACACTCTCATTTCATGGTTGGTTGGCTCCAAGGCAGGAACACCCTGTCTGAAGGCGGTGTTGGAAGAAATCTCTCTCATGGTTACTGGGAAGCAGAAAGCAGGAGGATAGCCTAAGAAGAAGGAACCAGGAACCAGATAGAATTCTCAGGGTCATAACTTCATGCCTTGTTTCCTCCAACTAAGCTTTGCCCTCTGTGGTAGATTAACTAAGGCTCAACTTGTAAGACGCAGCTGAACTGAATCAGCGTAGTGCTGGATAGGGATGGCACACCTGAGGACTGTTGCCAAAAGCATAAAAAGGAGAACTGGAGAGGAAGATGGGTGCTATTGATTCTCCTGGAGAAATTTATCGTGCTGTTTTTCCTCATGAACTCAGCTGGTTTCAACCTTTGGAAGAGTTTGGGTCCTCATTGTCGCTGTAGATGGCTATCTCCAGTAGAGCTCCAGTCCTTACCTTGAGCTTTGTTTCCCGGCTTTAATGAAGACTCTTCAGACTGCTGACACAGATCCTTCATTCCACTAGTGGAGACTTTCTAGCTTCTACTGCTGACCTTTGGGACTTCCTAGTGCAGATTCTTAAATCAGTCTTGCATGACTAGCCTCCCGCGAGATTAGCACAGGACATTTCTGTGGGCTTCAGGCCCTCAGCTGGATTCTTTGGGTCTCTAGTATTTGGACAGAGCTCTTGTGCTCTCCTGCATTTGATTTTTTGCGTGAATATTATTAAATAGTCCTATAAATTGTGTGTTCCTTCAGGGATACGTGGTGGCATCATGTGAGCAGAAAACATCTTGGACAGTGTTCCTTTTATATTATTTCTGATTGCAGCCCATATAACCTCTCTCATAGGCTGGGTCTGCTTGTTGCTGGAGTCTTCTTGGCAAATGTTCCATGTTTCTGGCATCCCCAGTTTTGTGGGTTCTCCCTTGCAGCTTTGGTTCCATTCACAGCTTTATGTGATGTGCTACTAGGAGCTCCTGGCAGGAATCCTAATAACTATATCATACATTACTTGCACCCACAGGCCTTCTTTTGATAACTAGGTAGAAACCTCCATCCTCTGTGACTTTACGTAACTCTTGCAATCTGTAACCTGTAAAGCCAGCATCATGTGACTGATGCTGAAATCTACTGTCAGTGGGTGCAATTGTCAGGCCCCTTTGACCACTGGCTGTGGAAGCCTCTGATGACTGACTACGGTGAAATGAATCCTAAGGAAACAATTCCCTAGGAAGCCCTTTCCAAGCAAGATATCCAGGGTTCTGTCTCTCTTCTCAAATGAAAGGGTTATGCTTTTTCATTCTTGAGCATGTAATGGGTTTCTGAGATGCCTTTGAAGCATCTTTCTTTTGGTACCAGTTCAAAATACTGTTTAATGACATCAATCTCTTTAGTAACCACATCTTCCTTGGGTCCAGTTAAACACACGCATCTTTTCTGGAAAGACTGAAAAATTTTTAAGTCTTTCAGTTCTACTTTTACTCCCAATTCTCAGTGTAATTTTTACTAAAAACAGCCCAGCAATATCTATGCAAATATCTGAACACTGGGCGATGTTGGAATTTCCTGTCAGATGAACTAGTACACTGTCTTTTAACTCAGAATCAGAGATTTTATGGTATGGACAAAATATTGACATCTTTACCAGATATCAAATGAATGGCCTCTACTCTAATTCCCAATACAGTTCTCATTCCAAACTGAAATTTTTATTTTCCACATTATTTTCAACATTCTGTTCTTCTGAGCGCAGACCCAAATCACACATCAAGCTCTGCTTACAGCATCCAAGATCTTCTCTAGTCCAGTTCAATTTTTTCTGGTATGGTTGAAGTCTAAAATGTTCCTCCAAGGTCATGTGTTTAAAGATTGGGCTTTTGGAAAGTGGTCATATCAGGAGGACATTATGAGTGTGTTAGTCCACTGATGAGTTCATAGCTGGCTGTGCTGTTAGAAGGCAGGGCTTGGTTAGAGGTGGATCACTGAGAGTAAAACCTGAAAGAATGTATTCTTGTACCATCTTCTCTTTTCCTCTGCTTCCTGGTTACTGGAAGGTGAGAATCTTTTCCTTTGTTACACCCCTGACCCATGCTCTTTCTGCCTTGGACACAGCCAATGTGCACTTTTGACATCATGAACCAAAATAAACTTCTACTTCTTTAAATTGTGTCATGCATTTTGTCACAGTGATAGAAATATGACCAATACATTTTCACAGCTACTTGTATAAGCCAGTTCCAAATACTTCTAAATAACCTGGTCAGATATAGAATCACCACCATTTATCCAGTACCAATTTCTGTATTTGTTAGCTTTCCATTTCCTTGGACAAAATACATAGCACTTTATAACTGAAAAGAGAAGTTTATTTTGGTTTATAGTTTCAATCCTTGTGATCCACAGCCAGCTGATTTTGAGCTGCTCAAATCTGGCATTTGAGAAGCATATATCAAGAGAAGAGGCCTGATAAGAAGGGGCAAAGATGAGATATCATCTACAAAGTAGATGTCATCATGAGCTGCTTCCTCAAATTAGGCCCCATCTAGAAACCAACTCAACTATGAATTTGTTAATGTATTAATCCCAGTGAGGTTCATGCTCTTATCCAATCACTGCTTCAGGAATTTCTTAATCTATCAAGTTGACAATCAGGTTTCACTGGATTAGTTATTTTATTATTTACTAATACTATTATCTAATTCCTATCTTATGCTACTGAATCATTAAGTTAACAAATATTTTCTCTGTGAATATCATAATTTCTACTGACACTACTTCAACTCTAGAGTGTATTATTAATAATTATTTAATTATCCCAGTTACCCAAATGAAACTGAATGATAGAAAGCTTT